TATTTTATGCATTTCTGAGTTTCTAAAGTTCTCCTGTGTCTTCTGTTGGCCTTCACGTGTCATCTGCGACTTCTGCAAAACTCCCTAAAACTTCCATTTAATTTCTTATGCCGACCTGCCCGGATCAAAACTGCAATGGGGAAAGTTACAATGTGGAAGGGATAACTGTAGTGCTTTAAGGTTTACATAGAACTTTACATGCATTATTTCGCTTGATCTGTTGGCAACCCTGTGAGGTAGGTGCTACCTACATATTTTATTATTGTGTACTGCAAAATATATGCTACTGGTATGTATTACATTACACTACACACACACACACACACAAACACCATTTTACAGATAAGGAAACTGAGGCTCCAAGAGATTAAATGACTTGCCCAGGGTCACACAGCTAGTAAGTGCCTGATGTGGGATTTGAACTCAGGGCTTCTTGACTACAAGTCTAATGTACTATCTCCTATGCTATACTTCTCTCAGTAAATATGTATGTAAATGGACCTAGCAGCCATTTTTCATCTTGTCTTGCCCTCTTGCCTCTTTGCATTCATGTAGGCTCCTATGCCCACGTATGCCTCTTGAAATCCTTCTCTTCCTTGAAGGTGTTATCCCCTCCATATTACCCCCAGCTAGGAGTAATCTGTTCCTTTTTGAGTTTCTTATAGCACTTTGTTGGGACTTTTCTTAGCCCTTGTTACATTCTGCCTTGTATCATACTTATTTCCCTTTTATACTGTAAGCTCCTTTGGGCAAGCGCTATTTTTGAACACAGTAGGTGCTTAACATGGTGTTTGAATTGAACAGAAATGAAACTGTGTCAGGAGCACGGGAGATATCAGTTGATATTTTGCTAAGGCTCCCCCTAGAACAACGGTCTCAAAGTGTGGTTTGGAGATGCCCGAGGCTCCTGAAGAGCCTTTCAGGGGGTTCTCAGGGTCAAAATTATTCTCATAATAATACTAAGACATCTCCATTTCTAATACACTAACTATCAGTATATATAATCTATACAGACAATAGTTTGGAAGGGTGGGTCCTCAATAATTTTGATGAATGTAAGGAGGTTCTGAGGCCAAGAAGTTTGAGAAACAGTACAACAAAGCTAAGTCACTTACTGTCCAACACAATCTGGCTACTTAAAAAAGACCCATATTTCATATCCTCCAGGTAAAGTTACAATGGCTCTTTGATTCCTGAGGGCAAAGTTTTTGCTGGGCACTGTACTTCTTTCTGTTGAGATCAAGGGTTGACCCAGATGGTCCCTACGTCCCTCTCAGTTCCAAACCAAAGTCTCTTTTCCTAGGTAGTTACTGTGCCTTCCTTGTTTGTCTGTGGTCCTGACATGTGGTTTCATCAGCATTCCTCCTGTGGAAACTCCCTGAACTTACAGACACAGGTTAGCAATTTGCCTGTAATTTATGATCTTATAAAACCATCCCTATTTGCTGATGATATGGTAAACTTGAAATTCCTAGGGAATCAGCAAAGATATTAATTGGTAATGGGTACAATTAATAGCTTCAGCACAGTTTCAGGCCACAAAATAAACACTCAAAAATCACCAGCATTTCTATGTAATATTAACAAAACAAGAAGCAATAATAGAAAGGGAAATCCCATTTCAAGTAACTACAAAAATATGCATAAAATTATTGGGGATCAAATTCTTAAAACACTTACAAGACGTACAGATTCACTACAAAGTGCTCCTTAAAGAAGTAAAGAATATCTTGAATAGCTGGAGGAAGAGTCAATGCTCATGGCTATATTGTGCTAATATAATAAAAATGGCAATGCTACCAGAATTAGTTTACACTTTTAATGCTATGTGAAGCAAATTAGCAAGGGGGTATTTTACAGAACTTGATAAAATAAAAGCAAAATTCATTTGGAAAAACAAAAGATCTAGATTATCAAGGGAAATGATGAAAAGAAGTAAGGATGAAGAAGGAATAGCATTTGAGACCTCAAACAATATTACACAGCAGCAGTTACCAAAACCATCTGATACTGGTTAAAAAAATAGAGAAATAGATGAATGGAACAGCCTAGACAAAGGAGATTCAAAAACAGTAACTCAGTGTCTGACAAAGTAGAAACATAAATTATTCAGAGGAATTTAATTTTATATATACATATACATACATATACAGACACACACATATACATATATGTATATACATGTACACACATATATAGACATGCCCATATGTATATATACATATATGTAAACATACATATGTGTAGATACACACATACATACATATATGCATACACACACCTATATACACCTAGGGATATTTTATAAAAACTTCTGGGAAAACTGGAAACCAGTCTGGCAGAAATTAGGCTTAGATTAACATCTTGTACCACATTCCACAATACATTTTATATGAATACACAACCTTAATATTCATTATCAGACTACTGAGAAAATTAGAAGAGAAACAGGTCGTGTAACTCTCACAGCTATAGGTAGGAGATGTCTTCTTAACCAAACATGAGACAGAGGCAATTTTGAAAGATTATTTTCTCTTTTTAATTTTATTGTAACTTGGATTACATGAAACTGAAAAGCTTCTGCACAGACAAAATTAATGTATCTAGGATAAGAAGGGAAGTGGCTGAATGAGAAAAATATCTTTATATCAGATTTCTCTGACAAAGGTTTGGTATCCAAGATATATAGACAATTAATAAACATATGTAGCTAATAACCATTCTCCAATAGATAAGTAATCAAAGGATATGAACAGTTTTCAAAAGGAGTAAAACTATTCCCAACTACATGAAAGAATGCTCCATATTGCTAAAGATAAGAGAAACGTAAACCAAAACAGCTCTGACATCTCACCTCATTCTCTGTAAATGGTCAAAAATGACAACAGTCAGTGTTGGAGGGGTTTTGGACTTGCAGGAACACTAAGGAAGACATTGTTGTTGAAGCTATGAAATGGTACAATCCTTTTGGAAAGTAATTTGGAATTATGCAAATGAAGTGAATAAAATGTCTATACTTTTGAACTAGAGACTCCATACCTGGGTTGATACCCCAAGGAAGCCATTGATGGGAAGAAAATCCCTATACACACCAAAATATTTATAGTAGCATTTTTGAAGAGAGCAAAGAATTGGAAACAAAAGTAGACACCCATCAATTGGGGGATGGCTAAATGATGTGTGGTACATGAATGTAAAGGAATATTACCGCATTGTAAAAAATGATGTGTGTGTGAATACGGAGAAGCATGAGAGGCTCTCCATGAACGGATGCAGAATTAAATAACCAGTCAAGAAAACAACATGCACCATGCAAATGGAAAAGCACAAGCACGTACACAAAATCACAAGTTAATGTCACAAAATCATAAAGATCAAATCAAATTCAAACGAAGAACTATGAGAGGACACTTCCAACCCCCCTCCCTGCCAGGACGTGACAGGTCGACAGGTGTGGGCATTACATGTTTTGGGACTTTTAAAACGTAGTGATCTGTTGCGCTTTTTAATTTCTCTTGTTTTAAAAATATTTTTTATATGAGGTGACTCTCTGGGAAGAGGAGAGGAAGGGGCTCAGGGGGATTCTATGATAACATAAAAAATAGGACATTAATGAAAACTTATTTTTTAAAAAAATTCATCACTTTAGATAGTCGCCTTGGGCCTTGAGAACTGAAGCAACTTGTCCTCGGGGTCCCCCGGCCGTCTGACCCCGGACTAGGCACTTCTGTGCATTTCCAGCTTCCTTTTCCTCATCCATAAAGGCGGTAACAGTAACAATACAGGACCAGGTCTTCTGGGAGCATTTTGTAAACTTTAAACGGTCCAAAACGTGAGTTACTCTTATCACTCTTACTACTCTAGAGACACGGGAGACAGTGAGGATGGCCTCAGACCTGGGTTCAAGTCCTGCTTCCGACACACGGGGGGCTATCATGCGACCCTGGGGAAGCAGCTTAATCCTCCAGTGCTCTGGGCTGGAGGGGTCCCACAAGCGGCCCCCAGCCCAGATTCAAAGGTAATTGGGAAACATTTCACAAAATAGATCCACATGCCGTAGGACACGGATAGTCCGACACCCCCGCTCCAGGCACCTCTCTAAGGCTGAGAGCAGCCCTGGTGGAGGGCCTTTCCTCACCTGGGAGCTCCCGAACTCTCGAAGTCCCCGCCCAATCCCATCCCCCGTCATAGAGACACGTAGAGCAAAGCTGAAGGCTGGGGGAGGGGAAGGCACGAGCACGTATTAAGCGCCTACTCTAAATACCGGCTTTTCGGGTCCTCGGGATAAGAGCCTGGCCCCCTTCGCCGCCCCTCCCCGTGCCTCAGTTTCCCCATCTGTACAGTAGGATCTCCGGGGTCCCTCGCCACTCTAGCACCCCAGGGGCTTGGGAGAAGACGGGGCTGGCACTTCTGTGGGGGGGTCGGCTCTCCCTCCGGGAAGGGGAGGGGGCTGCCTTCCCCTCTTGCCGCCAACGACTCCCAGCCCAGTCTTCCCAACCCTGGGATCCGAGAGCTCCGCCTTCTCCTCCTCCCTTTCTCCTCCCTTCCTCCTCCCCGCAGAGCGTTCAATCAGCGTCTTGACCCTGCTCCAGCCTCAGCCGTAGCCCAATCAACGTCTTGATTCCCCCCCCCCCCAGCCTCAGGTCGGCTGCCCAATCAGCGCTAGACCCGGCCCCTCGCTCCCATCTCCGCAGCCAGAGACCAATCAGAGGTTCGGTCCCGCTTCTCTCTCCGTATTCCGCAGACGCAGCCCAATCAGCGGCTAGATGAGCCCTCCTCTCGCGTCATCCCCAGCCTCGGACCAATCAGTGGTCGGTTCGGTCCCTCCTCTCCAGCCTCGTCTCTGAGGCGCCTTGGAACCTTGGAGGCAGCGGCGGTTCGAGCCGAAGCCGAGCGAAGGAGGGGCGGAGAAGGCGGCAGAGGGGGGAGAAGGCGCGGGCCCGGCGGGGCTTCTTCCTGGGCCTCGAGGCCTGGCGTCTCCCGAGAAGGTTCCGTGTGCGCGGGCGGCGGTTGCGATGCAGCGGAGGCCGGGCCCGGGGCGGCAGCTGCTGCTGCTGCTGCTGCTGGGGGCGGGTGCGGCGGCGGCGCGGGGAGCGGGGGAGCCCGACGACCCTCACTACCCGCAAGGCGAGCACCGCGCCGACTACGACCGCGAGGCGCTGCTGGGCGGCCAGGTGAGAGGGCCGGGACGGGCGGGGGTGGGGAGGGGGTGCCGCGCCCCTCCACCGAGGACTCCCCACGGAGCGCCCCCCCCGGGGGGGTCCACCCGAGCGCGTCCCTCCCTCCGAGCTGCGTCCACGCTCCTCCTGGTTGCTCCGGCAGCCCCCCGCGGCGCTGGTGCCACGTGCGGGGGGATGTCGGGGTGGGAGGCGGCAGCACCTGGCCTTAGTCTCTGTGACTTCTTCGGACACCCACAGCAGCCCGGGGAGGCGGGGCTGGTATCATCCTCATTTTACACAGGGGGAAACTGAGGCGGACCCAGGGTCACCCAGCTAGCGATGGTCCGAGGCTGGATTTGAACTCGAGCCTCTCTTCCCCTGCACACCTAGCAGCAGAAGAAAGGAAAGCTCTCCCGGCAGTGAGCTCCCCTTCTAACGATGACGAGCACCTTGGGGGGAGGTAGAGGGGTCCCTCCCCTCTGCTTTAGGGTTGAGGAGGTCAGTGGGAGTGAGTGAGTGAGTGAGTGAGTGGCGGAACCGACCCCCAACCCAGAGTCCATGCTGCTGCATGAGTAGGCAGTGTCAGGATGATGGTAGGGTGGATGCCCTTCTGCACACGGGGATACTGAGACCTAGAGGGATGCCAGGGTCAGGAAGGGCCTTGGAGACCACCTTCATTTCCATCAGTCTCCTCCCCTGCAAAATCAGCATCTCCAAGCTTTCTCCACCTCTCTCTGCCTCAGATGAAGCCACTGGCCCTTTGGTAAAGTCCCACCTTGGCCAGGTTTACTTAGAGGAAATGTGGGCTGAGGATCCATAGGTGATCTCTTGACCCTAAACCTAGTGTTCTTTTCATTTCACCAGTACCTCTCTAGGCATCCTCCAATCCACTGTTACATATTGACTTACAAAACCACCAATTAACATTATCCACCTTGTATTTTTACTTACTTTGTTAAACATTTCCTAATTACAGTTTAATGTGGTTTGGTGAGGGTGCTGGGATTCATAGATTTGACACCTCTGCTGTAATCCTGAGGCTAGTTCTGTGGATGAAGAATGGGGACCCACTGAAGCCCAGAGAGGAGAGAGCAGGTGCCTAAGATCCAGGCAAGCCTTTGATATTGCTGGGAATTGAATTCAGGCCTTGTGCTTTCAGTCCTGGCTTCCTTTCACTGGTCCAGGCTGCAGCAAGGTGGTCTCTGCAGACATGAGGGTTGGAGTGGGGGGACACAGGCCCTGAGCACAAGGAGTGGCTGACTCCTGAGGACCTGCTCTCCAGGCACTACCTCTGAGTTTTCTGTGGTTTTTGTCCTGGATTCCAGGCCAGAGGTTACTGTCCTTCTGAAGCCTCATAGCACTTGTATCCTCCTGACATATCTTCACACTGCTTTGCATTTTGTTTCCCTCTTGGGGGTTTGTAGTCAGAGCACCTGGGGTAAGTCCTAACCATGCTATGTGTAACCTTAGGTATAGCACTTAAACCTCTCAAGACCTCAGTTTACTCAGTAGTAGAATGAAAAGTTGGGCCAAATGGCCTCTTAAGGTTCGTCACAGCTCTAAACCCTATGATCTTATGATAAGGGCTTCCCTCAAAAACTTTGTGGAGTGGGGGTAAAGTACAAGGATTATTATGATCTCCATTTTTAAGCTTAGGAACATGATTTGGAGACGCGAACTTGCCTGTGGGGATGTTAAGTTTCAGGGCCAGGCATCAAATCTCTGTCTTCTGTGAAGAGGACACTTAAGATCGATGCTCTTACCATCATGTCATGCTGATCATGAGTGTGACCCTTCTCTTAAGCTCATCAAACTTGTTCCTTGCCTTGGCTGGTGAAACCAGCAGGCAGTGGCAGGCTACTTCTGAGACCCACACATGGTACTTTGTAAGTTCATGTCCAAATTTTGGTCCCACCAAAATGATGGGACCCATCCCTGACCTGTTTCATTCATTCTTTTGTGTCTTTCTTCCCAAAGGCAGAAGCAGATGAATATGAAAAACTCAGTCCAGAAGAGCAGCAGAAAAGACTGAAGGCAATCATTAAGAAAATTGATGTGGACTCTGATGGTTTCCTTACTGAAAGTAAGGAATCTTTTCCCCTCTCACTTACTGAAGAAATCAGTCCCTGTGAGAAATGTTACCAAAATTTTCAGAGTGGATGTCTGTTAGCTTTCCCCAAGATTTAGAGTATTGTGAGAGAGGAAGATAGGGGAATATGTCTTATGACTGAAAAATGGGGCATAGGCTAACAAATTGGAGTAAATGCTTTGTCCAGTGACTCACTTATGTATGTATGTATGCCAGTCACGTGCTTTTAGTTGTAATGTAGAATGAAAGTGTACTTTAAAACTTAAAACCTTATTCCTCATTGGACTCTTTAAAAATGCTAATAATATCACTTTGCATTGTCAGAGAAATGCACTTTATGTGAAAAGTGATTCAGTTCATTTCACTGTAAATGTACTAGAGAGGAAAGAAGACTAATTTCATTTGGAATTGTGGTCGAATTGTGTTATTTGTTATTTGTTTCATATAGTACCATTTGAATGCTCATGGAATCCTAGGCATTGTTGTAGGTGTTTTCATTAAAATCAGATGCACAAATTGATCAGAGCTGTAGGTCTGGTCCTCTCCTATAAACTCTTTTTGTATATATCCAAATATATTTTTGCAACCAGTGACCTTAGAGAGATGAGCTAGCTTTTACCCTCATTTCACAGACGAAGAGATGGAGTCCCAGCCGGTGTGAGGACATGTGTGGTGCAGCTGGTTAGTGGCGGAGCTGTCAGTCCGTCAGTCTGGGAGCAGCTCGGATCTCCTCATCCCTTCCTAGTCCATTGTTTTTTTCTGATGTAATAAGCTACTACCCCTAGAGAAGGGCTTGAATGGGGACTTCTCTGCATTAAGAGCTTGAGGATGCATAAAATGATATTTTTAAAGGTTTATTTTAGTTCTATTAGGATATCAAACCATTGTGACCAGCTTGATGCCCTTTAGGGGCTCCATGTGCTGGCTAGCGGTGAGGAGGGGGCTCAGTTGGGTGGTCATACGTTGAATGTATCTGTTCCCTCTCTTTCCCTTGAGGATGCCTATTCCACCCAGTGTTCATCATAGAAGTCCTGGATGCGATTGGCCATTGTGGCTTTGTGCCCAGGATCTCCCCATGTCCTTGGGGGTGCCAGGGGTTTTGCCCATCCCTCTTGTGTTTGCCCCTCATTTTGGAGAGCCCCTGGTTCAGTCAGCCTTTCCCACAATGACCAGTCTTCAAAGATGGTCTGAAAGTAATGGCACGACTAGGAAGTGAAAGTATTTTTCCTCTGGGTCTTCACGTGTCATTGTAACTGTCATAGATTGGATTTCATTGATTCTGTTAACGTTGTCCCTCAGACTTTAGGATGTCAGGATCAGCCCTGACCTTCCCTTCCCCGTTTTCCCTTCAGTAAACTTTGACCACCTTCCCTGGAGTAAAGAGCAGAGTCAGCTCTAATTGGATATGCTCCCTCCTCACAGCATTCCCTTTGTCCTCAGCTAGCGCGCCCTTCAGAGTCATTGCAGCAGCATTTGGGGAGAGTGCAGGTCTTTTTGTTCTTTTGGCTGCGCAGAAATTGTTGACTGCATTTGGCTTTTTGGACAATGTTTGGGAATCATACTTAATCAACTTCATCCCAAACTGTCTCACCACCCTCCCCTTTCACCCTCTACCACATACACGAACGGCTCCATTTTAATCTCCTGTTCTTTTTTTAATGCTTTTGTCTGTTTAGAAAAAAACCAATTCATCTGTTAACCAAAGATTAATTTTCTGTCATTGTTTTAAGGAAATAATTTAGATGCAACTTAACACTTGTGAAAATACAAATTCTCTGAACTTCCAGTTGAATGAAGTAATTATTGTATCACAACTTTTTTCTTGAACTGAAATTGAAAAGTCTTTCAAATTTATTTTTTTCAGGAGCTGTTTGGATTTGTTTCTGTTTCCTGACAGGAATGTGGGGCTGGGGTACTGTAGTTGGCCATTTTTTTTTAATCTACAAAGGTCCTTTGAACATTCAGAATTAAAACGACACCTTTTCTCTGTGAACCCCCCAGATGAACTCAGTACGTGGATCCAGATGTCCTTTAAGCACTATGCCATGCAGGAGGCGAAGCAGCAGTTTGTCGAATATGACAAGAACAGCGACGGCGTGGTGACGTGGGGCGAGTACAACATTCAGATGTATGACCGCGTGATCGACTTTGACGAGAACACCGTGCTGGACGATGCGGAGGAGGAGTCATTTAGGCAGGTGAGTGCTGAGTGCTCTGGTCCTGTCCGGCCGCTTTCCCATCGTGCCTGCAGGCCCCGGCTGGCAGACTTAGGTCATTTCCTGCATGGCCGTGTTCTCCAGGCTGTGCTTTGTCGCGCCTCACTGACCTCTTTGAAAGCTTCTCTTTTCTCTAGTCAGACTTCAGGATTCCTTGTAGTTATTGCCCAGTTGGCTGACGCTGGCCTCCTGTATCCCAAGCTCTTCTTTTTATTTTTATTGTTTTTATAAAGGAGTACTGTTTTTGTTAGCCTTCATGGAACATCAGATGAGGATAGTTACTGAAGAGGCCGTGATGACCAACTACTATTTCGAAGATACATTAAATCCCCAAAAAAGGGACTTTGACTTGTTTTCTAAATTCATTATGCTGCTTCCTTCTCATTATTTAAAGCAGTTACTTTATCTGCACTTAATGTAGTTTTTGTTGTCCCTTTAAGACTCTACACACCCCCACCTCCAGGCACAATTTACAAAAATTCATACTTTTTAACCGGGTAGTCCTGGGAAATTCAGGGAAAGGGCTTTACTTAGGACTCAGTAATTTAAAAATACTGCGTGTGTTTTGACATGGCAGGGTTCAGAAGCCACTGTGGTTACAAAGATCACTTTTCACAGTTCTTTTTTTAAGATGACATTTTAAAATGAAAAAAATGAAGCCCACTACTGTATTCACAGTACAGTATATTTTAAGAGTATTAGTCATGTAGAAGACTTTCCTGAAAAAGGGAGGCCTTTTTCCTATATTTTTATTCTGCAAATTAGTCAGCTTTTGTGACAGGCTTTTTTATAATATGTATTTAAATGCATAAAATGATATTTTTAAAGGGTTTATTTTAGTTCTATTAGGATATCAAACCATTGTGACCAGCTTGATGCTCTTTAGGGGCTCCATGTGCTGGCTAACGGTGAGGGAGGGGGCTCAGTTGGGTGGCCATACGTTGAATGTATCTGTTCCCTCTCTTTCCCTTCTTCCGTCCCCTGCTCAGGCCCCCCGGAGATCACAGCCTCTTCCCTCTCTAGGTGCACTAGATGGACAGAGCTGGTCAGAAGAGAAAAAAGAGGGCTGAGAGTCCTGTTCTGTGGTTTGGCGGTCAGAATGCCCCTCCAGACCAGCCAGGAAAGCCTGGCGGTGCTCCTTTCTCTGGTGCTCTGCAGTTTACTCACAGCTCTCCTCACCCTATGGCTTCCAGGGAGCTGTATCACCTGCAGGTCACCTTCGTCGTCACTGAAGTCTGGACTTTGTTGTTTGGACCTCCTCCCTCAGGTACAGAGCTGAGCAGAGCCTCAGAGTGGCCAGGCGAGTTAGAAATCCTTTCTGAGGAAGCAGAGGCCTTGCCCTTCAGAGCTAATGCAAGCCCACTTTTCTGTCTGCGTTCTATCACACTGCTTGCCTCCTGATACATCACACAGTAGTACTCTTTTTTTGTGGAGTTTCTGTGGTAATCACTTTTTCCTCAGTGAAGAGACATTGGTCAGTAGTACATATTCAGTAGCTAGCTTTGTGAGTAATTTCATTTTAATTAAAAACAATGTGTTTTTTGACAAAGTAGAGAGGCACATCAGATTTAGAGTAATGTTATTGCATGTGTTATTCGGTTCGTAAGATAAAATTTAGTTTTATTAGCTATTTTGCTTAATGTAGGTTAAAAACGCATTTGATTATTACAAAAATTGGCCATTTGTCTGCCGTCACAGTAATCTGCTGTAGCAAGCTCTCACATTTCTACAGCATTTTTAACTTTGCCGATGGCTGTCCTTTGTGATGTAAGTAGTGGAAGTATTGTCTTCATTTTGCAAATGAGGAAATTGAAGCTGATCTTGATGAAGTGACTTTTCCAGAGGGTTCTAGGGTTCTAACACTGGCCAGTTCTCAGGGGTGGAAAGGATGTGGAGGGTCTCTGTTCCATCCTGCGCTTGAGCCACGGCATTCTCTAGAAGTCATTCAGCATCTCCCTGAATGCCTTGGGGAGGGTGAGGTCAAGGCAGCGCACCCCATTTTCAGAGAGCCCTGGTTGTGATTCTTGATGCTTGGTCCGACTTCTGCCTGTTGAGGCCACTGGAAAAGTGTTAATGCAGCTGACCCGAGGGCAGGAGTAGAAATGAAGCCCAGCACTTCCAGGAGAGACTGTATTTAAAATTACGTGACCCATATACTTTTAAGTTAACAACTCTTAATTCTGAACTAGATAGCTTAACTTGAAAATTCATGTTTTCACAAGCTGGAGGTGACTCTCCTTTGTAAAAAGATTTCTCTCTACTAGGAGTGGACTGTCTGGCTCTCGGGTCAGGCCTTCCTCTCCTGTCAGGCATGTTCATCTCAGGGGCCGGCTATGGGTTCTGATTAAAATGGTAAATGCAGCTCACTCTTTTTTAATCACTAGGAGATTTTTGCCAAGGGCAAATGGGGAGAGAAGCTGAAACTGATTGTGTTCATGAGACTTAGGATCATTTGAGTTTTTCTGTCTAGTGCCTGCCATCTCCCCCCTTATGAATAAAGCATTGTCATCAGTAGAACTCCAGCCTTTTCCAAAAATAGTGCATCTTTAGTCATTTCTGTCCTAATGGGTTCCCCAGACCTGTGAGGGCTCTTTTTATTAGTCAGAAAATTTTCACCTTTATATCTAGTCTGACCCTCTCTGTTCTGACATTCTGTGCTGCTGTGATGGTTTACAGGACAGGATCTCTGGGGCAGGAAGGTCAGATAAAAATCCAGAACCAATATCATTTCAAAGTGACAGGTTTATTAAGTACATAGAGCATTTTGGAATTTTAGTATTAGGAATCTTAGGAAAAATAACTGCATGAAGAGGTCATAGAACACTTGAGAAACGTCCTCTTGATTCTGAAAAAAAAATAGCATTTTATGGAGAGCACTTTACATGTTTTCTCATTTGATCCTTGTAACAACCACCTTGTGAGGCAGGTGCTTTTATTATCCTCATTTTCAAGTTGAGGAGACTGAGGCAGACTTAGCCTCTGCTGAGTGACCTGCCCAGGGTCATGCACCTTGTCTGTTTTTGAGGCAGGACTTGCTGGGGTCTTCCTGTGCTCTAACCACTTACTGCCCCCGTGCTGTGAGGTGCGTTTATACCTGCTGGTGAGGTCTGTGTATTCATAAAAAGGGGTTGGTGTTTGTCTCTTGACCATCCTTAGAATGATGGTCTTCATTTGAGGCCTTATTTCTTTGGATGTTCTCATTGTGTAATGACTCTCCCTGTTGAGAAGTACAGAAGATGGATAGTGAGGGCCCGACAGAGGTAGAGGGGTTTCTACACAAGCTTCATTTCGGTGGGAGCCCCGGGAGGGGCCATTAGAGCCAGTCCAGCCCCAAACCGTACAGATGAGGAAGCTCCAGCTTAGAGGAACACAGAGCAGTCATTCCTTCCATCTCGTGGCCTTCCCGTAACCCTCTGCTGCCTCTCCGCCCTCCTGCAGTCTAACGCGTCATTGTTCTCTGATCGGTTCCTCTGTGACCTAAGTCAGGCCAGCAGCTTCTGGGGGGCAGGGACTGTCTCCACTGCTCACTTATCCCCTCCGCTGTCTGTCAGGGTACACTGCCTGGCACAGGGCACGTGGCAAGTGCTTCTTGGCTAGGAAGCCACAAGTAATCACTGACATTTATGTTGCACTTACTGTGTGCCAGGCTCTGTGCTCAGTACTTTATAAATATCTCATTTCAGCCTCTCAACAATTCTGGGAGGTAGGTGCTGTTATTGTCCCCGTTGTACAGATAAGGAAACTGAGGCAAACAGGGTTAAATGACTTGTCCAGGGTCACACAGCTAGTCACGTTTGAGGCTGAATTTAAATTTGGGTCTTCCTGACTCCACGCCCATCATTTGTCCCCTGTGCCACCTACTTGTTGATTGACTGGTTGCCCTCAGAATATCTAGTCCAATCTGCCCGTGAACCAGAGCCTGCTGCCTCTGTTGCACCCTATCAGGGTTTGCTTGTCGATCTCTAGAGACCCACTGCCTCCTGAGGTGGCTCTTTCTGCTTTGGGAAAGCCCTGATCATTAGGTTAGGACACATTCCCATGCGTTGATCTGAAATCTGCTGGGCCTGAGCAGAACGATCTGATGCTTCCATAGAATGTTCCTTCAGATAGGGGGAGTCTGCTGTCACGTCTCCCTTAAGTCTTCTCTTTTCCAGGTTCCACACACCCCAGATTCTTTAATTGATCATCGTTTGGTATGATCTCAGAACCCCTGGACCTCTTGAGATCTCCTCTTAAGAATATTTCTTTCCTGTACTTTGTGCATCTCAGTTCCCCAAAACCTTAGAGTTGCCTGGACCCTCCCCGATCTGGTAAGACAGGATTTTTGTTCCCTTCTGCCAGGACTTTTAATCCTAAATTAAAATCAAATGCAAAAATCATCTGCAAATGAGTGATGCAAACATTACACCAAAAGCGGTGTGTGCTTTGCTTTTTATAAAGCATCTTGAAAAAAACCAGTTGTTCAAGGAAAGTTAAAAGTTGCAGACTTGAGAAGTTTCATAACTCCAAATAAAACAGTATTGATCATCAAGGATGATTGAATGCCTGGGTAAAATTCAGATATCTCATTCATTGATTTTTGCTTTTTAAAAGGTTGCTAGGTAGAAGGGAATTGTTGACAAATGTAAGAGTACTGACCTTTTATTATGAGGTCGTGTGAAATGCCTGGAATAGCATTTCTTGGTTTATTGTGTGAAGAAGTACCCTGCACAGCATTTCTCAGGAGGGGAGGTAAAGTTTGGGGGCTCTTCTGGTGAAAGCGCCCGGGTCCCAGCTTCATGACCTGTTTGAGGCACAACTTTGCCTCGGCCTCCTCCACGTTTGAGGAGCGGCGACTTGTTCTGGTACTAGTACTGGAACATGACTGTTGGAGTACGAAAGATTATTTCTTTTTCTTCATGTAAAATATTCTGTCTGCCAAAAGGTGGCAGCTTTGTTCTTTGTAGGCTCCCATCATAATGTAAAAATAGTATTGCCAGCTTTAATTGTTTTGTGCATATTGGTATTGAAATGAACTTTCAGAGCATCGTTTTTCTTGTCCTATTTTTTTTGCTGTTCTACCTTGCGCCCCCCACAACTTCTCAAACACATAGAAGGAACAAAGGCTTTAAGATTGTAATACTTAACATTTCTTTCTAAGAGACGTTTTCTATTTCCAAGGTGGTCCCCAAAAAGTCCTTCCCTAGCATAGGTTTCTGTATCTCACAAGCCAGTTTTCCTCTCTAGTGCAGTTTTGAATGCTTTGGGAAAAATGTTCCAAGTTTAGTTTCTTTTTTAAAAAGCCTGACAGTAACTGACAAATGTGAACCAGAAAACTTTATTTTCCTGCAACTTCAGCTTGTGGAGAAAGATCCTTTCTTTGATAGATAAAGCTTGCCAAGTAATGCCCTTAGCTGAAACGCGGGCCTTTTGCTTGGGAATGGAAGGGTCCTTTCATAAGGAAGCCCAGGCACTCGGACTTTTCAATGGTGGCTTGTTCTTTTTGAACTTGTCTGGCTTAGCAGAGCCCCCGGAATTCTTGCTTGTCAGCATTTTTCCATGTTTGTGCTCAATGTGAAATGCACAAGGTTCAGTTTGAACAAGTAGATGCACAAGACTGACAGGTGTCTTCAGGAATAAAGATTGAAGTCAAGAACTGTCCATTTAAAACAACCAGTGGACAACAAACTTCTCCCTCTTCAGTTTGGATGGATGATTGGTCCACTGGGGTATGTGTGTGTGAGAGAGAGAGAGAGAGAGTGTTTGAAAGGAATATTTCTTGTGAGAAAAGTAATGACCCTGTGGAACACGAGAGCTTGGGTGAAGGACTGCCCAGAGGGCACCGAGGCAGGGGAAATTGGAAGGGGCCAGTTCCCTTCATCAGGCAAACATGTTAGCAGCTCCCGAGGAAGGGTTCAGAGGGACACTTTACGATGGACGGCTAATTAGAGTAGTTTATGCCATTATTCAACAAACATTCAGCATCTATCATAGGCAAAGCCCTATGCTGATTGAAGCTGATAAGAGTCTCGTTGGTACTAGGGGGTGCTGCAGACTGCTGTTCCCGGAGTCAGGAAGGCCTGAGTTCAAATTCTGGCTCAGACACTCACTAGCTGTGTGTCCTTGGGGAAGTCACTTAACCTCTGCCTGCCTGTTTCCTTATCTGTAAAATGGGAGTGCAGCACAGTAGCACTTTACTTTCAGGGTTGTTGTGAGGATTGAATGTGGTAATATTTGTAAAGTTCTTTGAAAACCTTAAAATGCTATATAAATGGTAACCATTATTGTTATTATTTCTATTGTACCACAACACAGGTAACAGTAATAAGTAATAAATAAAGTTAACGTAATCAAGTTAGACTTGTAAAACAAAGAGCTAAATGAAGGAGATGGGGGGGTAGGGCAAAGTGGCATGAGTAATGATGTAATAATTCAGTTGGTGAATCAGGAGGGAGGACATTACAGTAACAGGGGGTGATCCAGGCAAAGGCATGGAGGTGGGAAAACCCAGGTGACAGATAGGAGGAATGATGAGAGAAGGCATGAAGGGTATTCGTCACACCGCACTGTAACAGTGCCTGGAATGCTTGGCCAAGGCATTTTTGCTAACATTTAATGTATAGGTTAGGAACATGCCACCTTTCAAGAGGTTAAGAGAGAAGCAGTGATGTAGTAGAAAGAGCCCCCTGACTGGAGTCCAAGGACCTGGGTTCAAATGATGGCGGAAGCTACTTGGACACATCACTAATCCCTGAGCCTCAGTTGCCTCATCTGTTAAATGAGACCTGAAATAATCTGGTACAGATGACTGCTCTAAACCCAGGATCTGGGATCCTGTTAGAACTACACGGAAGCTTTAGTTGACCCTTTATTGTAGCTTTGCTTTCTAATATGTAATCTGTTGTGAACTTAGATGACCTCTAAGCTCTCTGCACTTGTAGCCTCAGAACTGTGGATATTGGGGGTCTGAGCAGTGGGAATGAAGAGTAGGACACGCAGTGATGCAGAAGAGTCACTTTTTGTTAGGGATGAAGAAGTGAGGAGCAGCCATTCTGGAGAAGAATCTGGAACTGTGCCCAGAGGGCTGTAAAACTGTGCATACCCTTTGACCCAGCAAGGCAACCCCAGAGAGATCAAAGAAAAAAGAAGAGGACTTAGATCTACAAAAGTATTTGTAGCAGCTCTTCTGTGGTGGCAAAGAATTGGAAATTGTCGGGATACTCATCAACTGGGGAATGACTTAACAAGTTGCCATATGATTGTGATAGAATACTATGTGCTGTAAGACATGATGAGCAGGATGCCTTCAGGAAATCCGAGAAAGACTAATCTGAACTGATGCAAAGTGAAGTGAGCAGAACCAGAATATTGTACACAGCAACGTCAGTATTATATGATAATCAACTGTGAATGATTTAGCTATTCTCATCAATGCAGCGATAAAAGACAATTCTAAGGACTTGGGAAAAATGCTGTCCACCTCCAGGGAGAGAACTCATGGAGTCAGAATGCAGAATAAAGCATATTTTTTAAACTTTCTTTATTTTTCTTGTTTTTTTTCTTTCTTTTTTTGGTCTGTGTTCTCTTTTGTGACATGACTAATATGGAAATATGTTTTGCATGACTGCCCACGTATAATCTATATCAAACTGCTTCCCTTCCCAAGTGTGGGGAAATTTGGAGCTCAAAAATTATAAAAAAGGAATGTCAAAAATTGTTTTTACATGTAAATAAGAAAAAAATAAAAACATTCTTTAAAAAAAAAGTAAGGACCTTTGGTAGTAAGAGTTTTGCCTACCAGGATACACTTGCTTTAGATCAACATTTAGGAAGCTGGGGTTTAAACTCCTGGTGTGGTGGAGGGGGGAGGTCTTAATAATTACTGAAGTACCAAAAGGACCTCATTCACAGGTGCTCCACTCATGATGTAGCATGGGGCCCGATGGTGATATTACAGCAAGACTTCATTATATTTGGAGAAAGAGATGAAGGCAACAGAGAACTTGGGGTTTAAACCCACCATTACGATGGATGATCACTAGGATATTATCCAGTTAAACCTACAAAGCCAGGGCATCTGGGTGGCGCCATGGATAGAGCACCAGGCCTGGGGTCAGGAAGCTGAGTTCAAATCTAGCCTCAGACCCCTACTAGCTGTGAGGAGGTCAAACCCTGTTTGCCTCAGTTTCCTCACCTGTAAAATGAGCTGGAGAAGGAAATGGCAAACCACTTCAGTGTCTTTGCCAAGAAAACCCCCAATGGGGTCATGAAGAGTTGGACACAACCACTACCCCCGCCACCTCTAACGGACTGCCTCGGAAGGCAGGCTTACTGATCTTAGACATTTGTGCTAATAGCCTAGAATGAACAAGAAAAGGGAAAAAATGATCTGGAACCTTACCCTTCTAACACTGTTGCTATGGGTAACGATCCCAGATGAACCAAGAAGCACGGCTCACTCTCTGACCAGGGACAGGGCATTTATCTCTTTGTTACTCTTGCAAACATTTGGCAAATGAATAGCATTGGTTCTGTCTTAGCCTTTATCCATGAGGTAGTAAACGGTACAGTGTGTAGGAACATGTTTTGAGACTCTGACATGCTTGTACGAACTTAAGATATTTTCATGGTGATATTAGGACTACTTTCTAAGTAGTATTTGAGTCTTAATAAGAAAAAGACATACATGAACTCTGAAGTATCTAACCAGGCCTTTGGAAATTTTTCCTTTATTTTTGAAGCTTCATTTAAAGGACAAGAAACGGTTTGAAAAAGCGAATCAGGATGAAGTTCCTGGTCTGAGCCTTGTCGAATTTATTGTTTTTGAGCATCCTGAAGAGGTTGATTACATGACGGTAAGGAAGAAACGTTTTCGTACTATTATTTAGTGATAGCTCTTATAACCTGTATCAGACAAAGCTACATAAATTCTGTAACTGCTTGGCTTTTAGCTTTTAAATGTAGAAGCCATTTGGGGAGTGAATAGATCTATTTAGAGAATTTGAAGGCCCAGAAAAATTTTCCCCCCCTAGGCTTCTCTCCCTTCCTCCACCCTGCCCAAAGTATACTCGGATTTCCCATTTTCCCTGTTTTTCGTTGCCTAGAGCCTTCACATTTCTTTGTATATCAAACGTCATTTTATAAATGATAAACTTGATGTATGTTTGTGTTTCGAATCAAAAAGTAATTACTAGGTTTGTAGAAGAATTTAAAAAATAATTTGTTTTTAAATTCTTTCAAAAATTTAAATTTTTGTTCCATTGCATGAAAAACAAAGAAAATATTTTCTCCCCCAAAACTTTGGGAAATTTTAGCATCCCCTAGTCCTTGGAGGAACCCTTTCCCTTTCTATCACAGTATGTTTCTATAGCTCACTTGTGTCCTACTGACATCTGGTGGTGATTTCATCCTTTATACAAGAAGATGCTGCTGCTCAGCCCCCCGGGTAGGGCACTTGTGGATTGTTGATCACTTCGTGCTTGTGATGTACCGAGCTTTGGGGAAAGTCACTGGTTGGTATAAGGGATGGAATCAGGTGCATTTTTGATGGTCTTTGGCCCCATTAACACGGCTCTAATTACTTGAGCTAACTAGTTGGTCACAGATCTGCTGGTCTGGAAAGCATACAGGAAAACAGTCCAGTGCAGTCTCCCAAAAAGACAAAGAAATTAAAGTGCTAAGAGGAAAATTCTAATTTGTCTCTGACAGCTGAGCTCACCAGTGATCAAGCTCATAGAAGGCTTCAAACTATGACCTCTGGGGCGAATCAGCTGTCCAGGGTCTCAGACAGATAGAACCTATCATTGTTGCTTCCTCCGCTGTTGGTTTAACACACCTGGACACGACACCTGTGTTGTTGGAGGCCGTTGATGTCACCTGATGACGGGCACCACTGCCTTGCTCTGCCCTGGCTGGGGGGTGGTCCACTTGGCGTCGTCTCTGTCTCACACTGATACGTGCATCTCCCTGTTGCTTGGTTTGCCTTAGTCAATGCAGGGATTTGAAGCCAGACACACAGCCTTCATTCTGTCTTGGGGAAGACTGTGTAAAGGGTGGGCATATATGAAACAAACATGAGGATGGTCATTTCTCTACCACCAATTCCCTCGTTCTTATCCCTGACACTGCCATAGTTACCTGCACTCCAGGCTTCCATCTACAGCTCTGTTATTTGCTTCCATATGGGTATTGGAAATTTAATAGGTAAAATATATCTTATTCAATTCTTTGACTACTTTTTTCTTTTTTTTTTTTTTTTTTTTTGGTAAACCAGCTCTTCATCTCACTTTTTCCCTGACTATTCATGTTAACACCATTCTCCTTGGTTCCATTATCCATTCTATCCAGTCTTTCAGTTTGCCCTTTCTTAGATGGCACTTTGTTTCATCCCTACAGTACCATTACACCTCAGGTGTTCTGATCTCGGGCCCCATCAGACTCCGTCAGGCTAAGCGCTAGGGATTCATAGAGAGGCCAGTCATGGTCGTGACCTTAGGAGCCTGCGGCCATCATTCTGCAGCTTCCTGCTGACCGCTCTGTCTTCAGTCTCTTTCTGCTGGCACTCGGAGGACAAGGCATGCCAAGTGATGCAAGTTGGTCCTTAAATGCATTTTAGAAGTTAAGTCCTCGTGCTGGAAATGCCTGGAGAAGGGAAGGAGAAGTGTTCTTGTAATCTGTGGGTGCGCTCTTCCATTTTACCCACTATGAGGTTCAGTTCAAATGACATTGAGTGTGCACCGAGCATTGCATGGTCTGTAGCCTTGGAGAAGGGACCTCAGGGTTGAAATAGGAGGGGCCGGTAGTATTGGGAGGCCCTAATGCAGGTTTATGGATGTGATGGAGTGAGAAAGAGGACCTGAAGGATGGAGAAATCATTAGTGGCAGCACCAAGCCCAAGATTTTCCAGGCTTAAGGTAAAACAGGACCGGTAGTTGATGATGTGGCCTGGCAATGAGGAAAGTTAACGTAACGGAGGAGGGCATGGTGAAAGCTCGGGGTCCTGTGTGATGTCAGCCTGGAGAGAGGGGAGAGTGTAGAAGGAACAGCCAAGTTCTGCTGAAATCATTTAGGAAAGTGAAAGGGGTTTTCTGTGGTTCCACATTATTGTGGGTGCTGCTTAGTTAAGGTTTTATTGTACTTGTTTCTTTATTTCTTAATAGACTTGCTATAGCACTGAAGATGCCAGAATCCTTACTCTCCCCCCTTTTTTTAATTAAAGCTTATCTCCTTATCTCGCTCAGGCTGGAAATGCGAGGGCTTCTCCTGGACCTGTTCTTGGCTCTGATTGGCACAGGAGCCAATGCTCTGTTTTTGACCTGGAAACTCCTTAGGCAGCCTGGGGACCCCCTGTTCATGGGGGCTTCTCATAGTATTGGCAAACTTAGTTCAGACTTTCGACAGGGTTAGCACATGAGCTTAGAACTCTTGAGCTTAGACTCACTGACCTCAGCCTGTCTGGTAACAGAGATTACTGATGCGTTCTTGTATGCCTGGACAGCATGAGTATTCCCAAAGAGTATTTTTTTTTGCTTTTTGGTGAGGCAATGGGGTTAAGTGACTTGCCTAGGGTCATGCAGCCAGTAAGTGTCAACTGTCTGAGACTGGATTTGAACTCAGGTTCTCCTGACTTCAGGGCCAGAGCTTTATTCACTGCGCCACCTAGCTGCCCCCAGTTTTTATAATCTTATTGTATAACCAGTTCAGAAGCCAAGGATCTTAATCGTCTCAGGTTAGAAATATGTATGATACTAAATCCCAGTGACTTGTCTTTTCTTATTGACTGTACAATAGGAATTTGTCATTCAAGAGGCTTTAGAAGAACATGACAAAAATGGTGATGGGTTTGTGAGTTTGGAAGAATTCCTTGGTGACTACAGACGAGATCCAAGTAAGTAACCCAAAAGAATCTGGGGGATTTGGGGGGCATGGGCTTGAGGAAAGAACCAGTGGAAAGGAAGATTTCTTTTTAGAGCCATTTAAAAGTAGATAAAAATGGGCCCATAAGAACTATGACTAACTTCTTTTTAGTAATTTTCCCTGTGCAGTTGTTTTTAGTTGTGTCCAACTCTTCACGACCCCACTTGGAGTTTTCTTGGCAAAGATACTAGAGTGGTTTGCCATTTTCTTCTCTAGTTCATTCTACAGATGAGGAAGAGGCAAACAGGGTTAAGTGACTTGCCCAGAGTCACACAGCTTGATTTGAACTCGGGTCTTCCTGACTCTGGGCCTGGCACTTTACTGCACTACCTGGCTGCCCATGCCACCTAAAAATAAGTTTTTGGTAATAAATCCCACTAAATTATAGTACAAATAAGAAAAAGGGGTGTATAGTTAGTGTCAGAATTCTATCTTTTGTTCTAGTTTGTTATCTGCAGTCAAAATATCTTTCACTTGTTTAAACTGTTAGATTAATAAATTTATTTTTAATACAAATGGAAGAGTAAATAAGAATTGATATTATGTAAATAAAATCCAATATTGACGCAAGTAGACCTTCCTAAAAGAGGGAAAAGACCTATAAGATATTATAAAAGTAGAATTAATGTAGAAAAGGACTTTTCATAATATTGGGGGTTAGAATTTTTTTAGTGACTACCTCCTCCCCTTAGCTTTGCTTAGAGAGTAGCCACTGCTACTTTGTTTAGGTATCAGATGAGTTTAAAACCAGCCACCATTTCCTGCTTTCGCTGATTACTGAATGAAAAAGACCACCAGGAGGGCTGTTCAATTGGACAGTTGTGGAAGTCACCATAAATGTATGTGTGGTGTGACTTTGTAATAACCCACCATAGAAGAAAGCTCTCAGGGCAGCAGGGCAGCCATGTAGACCACAGTTGTCATGATTTTATTTGACCTTCTCTCTGCAGCAAGGTGTAAAAGCGGGCTAGTTTTTAAATTGCTGAGTGGACATTTTATGTGTTTATTTTTCATTTGTAACCATCCATCTTTCATAGGTTTAATTTTTGCTATGACTTTTGTTTCTTTCTTTTATCCCAGAAGTATGCCTGCCTTATTGTTGGATTCCTATAGGTTTTTTGCTTTTAACTGCTTTTGTTTATCTTTCCTATTAAGCTGCAAATGAAGATCCGGAATGGATACTTGTTGAGAAAGACAGATTTGTGAATGATTATGACAAAGATGGGGATGGGAGGCTTGATCCTCAAGAACTTTTATCTTGGGTAGTGCCCAATAACCAGGGGATTGCACAAGAAGAGGTAAGTGATTAGCCCGTCTTCATTTTGGTACAGCAAATAAGTCTTAGTGTAGCTGTTAGTGAACAAGTTTATTTAGCCTTAATGCTCCAATATGATAGGACTCCCTACCTAGCTGAGAAAATCAGAGTGTTGAGGTCGAATCCCTATCATTTAACGTTATTTTACTTGATGATACGGGATGAATAATGTTAAACTTTCATTTATTGTCCCTTTCAGGGTTTGCTTTTGGGCTATCCTGGATTGGGGAGGGGGATTTGCTGGAGGAGGGCATGTGAAGGAAGAAAAGAGCAGGCAGCTCCCGTCCACTGGGTCACCCTTTAGATTCGAGACCTCAGCAATTGGCAGTTGAGCACGGTGGCTTTGACAAATGGAGACACAAAAAACTACATGAAAGTCGAATCATTTAACTTAAACTACTCGTTTTTAAGCTTAAAATCTTTTGCTTTAAAGGCTCTTCATCTGATTGAAGAAATGGATTTGAATAGTGACTCGAAGCTTTCCGAAGCAGAAATCATTGAAAATCAGGACTTGTTTCTTACTAGCGAAGCCACTGACTATGGCCGGCAGCTCCATGATGAACATTTCTACCACGATGAGCTGTAGGGGCTCGTCGGCTTTGCTCTGCCTCTGGCTCTGTCTGCAGTACTGACAGCTTTGTCATCTGTTAGCAGCTTGACTTGGGGGATGTGATGTGGATCTTACGATTTCTGTTCTAAGTTTTGCTACACTCAAACACTATAGATTATGATCTTGGCCTTTTAGCAGAAAAACAAAGTGAAAGCAACCAGACGTGAGTTTTTAAAATGTAATTTAAGAAATAAAAAATTAACGTTTTGCCAAATGAAAAAGTTGAACTGTCTCTAAATATTCCCTAACATAGTACTTAAGTAGATGGAGCATTTGAGTTACATTACCATACTTGAATAAAATGGAGGATTTAAACGATGCCTGAACGTTATTATGTAAGTAATAAGTGACTGAGGTACCAGTATTTTTTGTTTAGTTTTACGTAGATTTTAATAATTTTGAAATGGAAAGAAAATGGACAATGTTTAGGTTTAGTGTTTGTGTTAAAACCTTCAAAGGAACTTCCTAAAAGACTTACGCCTCACATATTAATGTGGAGAGGTTCTGCTTAATTTTTAAACTGGTTTCTATAGAGGGTTTATTGTATGAAATAGAACTTTATATTTTTGCATATGTATAGATAGTAATTATATTTAATGTACAACTCTTTAGCATTATGGTGTGTGGAATTTAACATTGTCCAGAACCTTTTGCATTTTTGACTGATTAAAAAGGAAATGCCTCATCTTTCTATATCTTTGTTCTGTTTATTTATTTGGTAGATCTTCCACCTAAACCAGGGGTGGGGAACCTGTGGCTTCAAGGTCACACGTGGCCCTCTAGGTCCTCAAGTGCGGCCCTTTAATCCCCTTAATAAAAGGATTTGTTCTGTAAAACTTGGACTCAGTCAAAAAGCTGCACCCAAGGACCTAGAAGGCCACATGTGGCCTCCAGGCCGCAGGCTCCCCACCCCTGAAAACCTTAAAAATGAGACACTTAGGCCTGTTTCACTTCGTGGGGGCCTGGAGTGGACGAAGCTTTCAGAGACCTTGTCGGTGGTGCAGGAAACCCACATCACAGCAGGCTGCATGGCTCTCAGCTGGCCAGCCTACCTACTTCTTCCACAGACGGTCACCATCCAAAGGTCACTCACCAGATCACTCTTTTATTTTCACCATAGCAATTGGCAAGGCTGTCTACTAGGGCATTGAGGGGTTGAACTCTGTGTCAGTAGAGGGAGGAGGTGTTCACGCCAGGGAAAAAGATCACAGATCTTATCCTTCAAGGGAGAAGACAGCATCATATGTTACCTAAGCATCCATCCCCATTGAGAGTGAAAATGGGCCCATGGAAAGCTAAACTAAGAAGCTGTTACTAGTCGTGCTGCTGATAGCTTTTAAGTGCTCTGTGCCAGACTTTGCTTTTACTTTTGGTGCGTTCTTCGGATCTACTCTTCTGTAAGCCCCATGACCTTGCACACAAATGAATAAACAAGCCCTCTCCTCCAAGCTACTTATAGGGTCTCTGGGCTTGGTAGCTAGCTGCTGCCAGGAGTAGCCACCGTTGGTGGTGCAGGAAATCCCAATTCAATCCAACAGCCACATGCTGTGTTCATGCTATACATACCAAACGCATAGAAGAGCCTGTGCTAGGGGCACACAATAGTGCCTGCTCAGGGAGCAAAGATGTTACTGGGGAAGGGAATATAACAGCTGTGAAAACAGTTCAGAGAAAATTGAGGGAGAGAGCACTGAGAACCTGGAATAAAGAAGCAGGCCCCGAAGGGCTCAGGTGGAACTCGGGTACAGGGAAGGAGGGAGGATTTTTTTCAGATTGTAGGAGTAGTTTGTATGAATGAATGGGGTGGGAGGTGGTCTGTGGCTTTTAGGGACGACAGTTTGTAAGGGAGATCAGTCTAAAGTAAGGCTGTTAAGCATGTTGGAAGCCGCTGGGCCAAGGAGTTTGTATTTTATCTGTGGCTAGTATGGAGCTGCTGAGGGCATTTAGACCGGGGTCAAAGGCAGAACTGTGCCTTAGGAAGATCATTTTGGCAGCTGTTTAGAGGAGGAATTGGAGAGGGGAGAAGCTGGAAGCAGGGAGGCCAGTCACGAGACTTTTGTAGCAGCCTTGATGAGAGATGATGGAAATCTGATTGAAGGTGGCGGTTCTGTGATGGGACAGGAGGGATCAAATGGGAAGTGTTGGGCAAGTGGAATCAACAAAGCTCAGAACCTGGGGCAGAGAGAGGAGGCAAGGGTGATTCTGAGTGGTGACCCCATGGGATTGAGAAGATGGCAGCCTCCAACAAGTTTGGAGGGGTGGATTTTCCACCCAGGCATTTGGTGTTTTAAGAATATGCATACTGATATAATCTCTTGCTTTTATACCGCTATTTCCTAATACAGTTTTCCCTTCCTTCCCTGTGTTACAACAAAGAATGAAAGAAAAAAGTTCAGCAAAACTAACACATTGGAAAAGTCTGACATCATATACCATAGTCTCTCCCCTCTGCAAAGTGTGTGTGTGGGGTATCCTCTCATAGCTCCTTTGAAACTAAACTTGGGTCGGTGTAGACATAGTGCTGAAATGGACCTCAGGCCGTCTGGTTCAAGGCTTTCATTTTATAAAGGAGAAAACAGCTCCAGGGAAGTTAAATACCATGCCCAGGACCACAAAAGCGTTAAAGGTGGGATTTGAACCCAGGACCTCTAATGCAAAAGCCAGTGCTCTCTCTGCAGTACCACACTGCCTCCCTTGATCATTAAAATTTCAGTCTGTTTTGCTGTCCTTTTCATTAACATTGTCATAGTGTGTGTTGTTTTCTGATTCTGCCTCCTTTCCTCTAAATCCATTCATTCAAATCTTCAGATGTTTCTCTACATTCGTGATCTGCATTGTTTCTTATAGTGCAGTAAAGCTTCCATTATATTCATAGCCTCAACTTGTTGGGCCATTTCTCAAAAACTATCCCCAGTGAGGATCTTCTTTGTATCTAGATCTTTGCTACTACAGAATCTGCTGCTATGATGTGTTGGTGCATTTGGGGTCTTTCCTTTTGTCAGTCACTGACTTTCTTAGAGTGTGCGCCTAGCAGCGAGATCCCTTAGTCAAAAGATATGGACGTTTCAATGACTTAGCATAAGCTAAATTTGCTTTCCAGAGTGGTTGGATCGTTTCACATTAGTGTGTTCCAGTGCCCGTCTTTCCACATCTGGTGGAGGGGGATAAATTTGTAGGGTGAAAGGTAAAAGACCTCTGTTTGGGGCATGTTGTAGTCAAGATGCCTTGAGAACTTACCTACCTGTGACAAAGTCAGGAAGGAGATTTGCAGAGGGCTGGATGTAGAGTTTGAGGAGTCATCTGTATTGTATATAGATGATACTTTAAGAGGTGTCCAAGGAAGAGGGTGGAGAAGAGGAGGGTAGAGCCCTGGATACATCCCTGAAGAGTCCTTGATTTAAAAGACTAAGCAGTGAACAGGTCCCAGCCTAGAAGTTTCTCATACTAAAATCAACTTTTCTGTGTTGAGACAGAGCTTTTTACTTGCCTCTTTTTTTTTTTGAATTTTTTACTTTTTGGTGAGGCAATCAGGGTAAAGTGACTTGCCCAGGGTCACAAAGGTAGTAAGTCTCAAGTGTCTGAGGCTGGATTTGAACTCAGGTCCTCCTGACTCCAAGGCCAGAGCTCTAACCACTTCACCACCTAGCTGCCCCCATTACTTATCCTTAAAAAAAGTGTTCTGGATTTTCTCACAAGATTGATTCAACCTTAAGGGGCCCCTGCTCCCCTCCCTCGGGTCAATATGGGAGAGAAGAGGAGCATGTCTTCTTTCCCAACAGAATAATTACTTTGCCCCTCTAGCTAATGGCAGAGAGAACTAAATCATGAATTAAATGTGATTCAGATGCTGCCAAAGGCTTCCTCATGACCCCTGATATTGGACAGTAGACACATAGCGGAAGTGTTAGCTATTCCTTTGTCAACTTTGCAATTTAAGTTAGACCCATCAGATGGCCAGTACTCAGGTTGTGTTATCTCTGCTTTCTAAGTTTTTACTGAATCCCATTTAAGTCTTTTTTAAGTGTTAGAATAAGCAGTGTCTATCTGAAAAGCATTTGTGTCTTCTTTTCGAAATCATACCTGATGATTTTATCCACTCTTTTCCTTATTGCAAGGACCCCCGTGATACATTCTTTCTTGAGTTGACTTCAGTGCCCAGTTGTAATGATTATTATAATCTCAGATTCATCTGTAAAATGGGCATAATAGTAGCACCCTTCCCCCAGGGATGTTCTGAGGATTAAATGAGATAACAGATAATGGTATCTAAAGAGCTTTGCTACATGAATGGTAGCTATTATTATTTACTCCTTTTAATCTTGTAAGCCACATCAGCCTTTCACCCAGATTTTAAGAGTAGGATTCAAACCCAGGTCTTCCCTCTTCACCTTCAGTTCTCTATCCACTGGCGTGCTGGCTGCAAGGCTGACTTTGGCAAAAGGAGTCCAGCCTCTGAGGCTGTGTGACCTCAGGTCCTGCTTCAGATGGAAAATTGAGTGAATTTGCACAAACCAGGTCATACATGGCTCTAATGAGACCAGGACCTAGGCCAGAAAATGACTGTTTGGTTTGTGATTAAGCCTTCCAGAAGCAAGGAAATTCTGTTTGGATGCCAAGATGCCACATTTCCTTTTATATAGCTCAAGGGACGGTTCATTTATCTGTATTCTTGCTTCATTACATTAAGGCATTTTGGACTGGAATCATTCTGCACCAAAGGGAAAGATGTAAATTAGGTTTATATTGAGAAGCTTCCATTTTGGACCCTGCATTAGGAAAGCCACCTATAATCTGATTGATATGGCAAGTATGCCACACATTTAACAGAGACTGACTTGCTTGGCATTTACAAATTGGCTACCAATTTCAGAAGTATTTTATTTGGTTAAAATCTTTGGCCAAGTTCCTTGAATTTTGGGAATTTGTTTTTTCCGCCTTTGCAAGTGATAATGCAGAATCACTGTATCCGGGATGGTAGCTGGCCTGCTGAGGGGCATTAAATGCAGCTATTAAAATGTCTGCTTTATTTGGAAAAAGGATTAATGCCAACAGTAGGCAAAATAAATCTCAAGTGAAATGGCCACAGTTTGCTATTTCTTTTCTTCAAAAAAAAAAAAAGAAGAAGAAGACCGAAGGTATATAGTTCACGCCCTGCAGGTAAATAATAAAAAGGAGCCATTTGAACTTCCATAGAAAATATCTTCGTCCAGTTAAAGTGATTTGTCATTTGATTTTTTTTAAAAAAATAATTTATTTTTAGTTTTCAACATTCACTTCCATAAGATTTTGAGTTTTCCATTTTCTCCACTTCCCTCTCCACCTCCCCACCCAAGATGGCGTGCAATCTGATATAGGCTTACTTATGCATTCATATTAAGCATATTTTCTTATTAGTCATGATGTAAAGAACAATTAGAGCTAATGGGAGGAGCCATGAGAATGAAGCAATAAAGCAAAACAACAAAGGAAAAGGAAGACAAATAGCATGCTTCCTCCGCCTTCAGACTTGTCATTTGACTTTTTATAAAACACTTCTAAGACCCCTCCAACAGTGTCTTGTTTTGCCCGGCATAAGGCCTTTGTTTTTCTGCTCTCTGCCGGCTGATTTCAGCGGAACAAGGTCACAGTGTCCTTCCTTACTGCCACGGCACTCGATGTGGTGACGTAATAACGGGTCACATTCGAATCTCATT